GTTTGTTTGTTTTTGTTTATTTGTTTTTGTGTATTTGTTTTTGTTTATTTCCGTTTTTCTTTTGTTTTTTTTTTTGTTTTTTTTTGTTTTTTTTTGTCTCCTTGTCAGCAGTTTAATTAAATGCAGTTATTAGTCCCCAACACCAAAATAAATAAAATAAACAGACAAACAAAACAAATAAAACGAACACACAAAACTAAAACAAACAAACAAAACAACAACAGCAAAAACAAAGAAATACAACTGGCGCCATCTCCTAACGTCACCACTGCCTAGCTAGCTAGCTAGCCAGCTGGCTAGCTAGGCATTTAGCCGGCTAGCTAGCCAGCTAGCTAGCCAGCTAGCTAGCTAGACAGCCAGACAGCTGGCTAGCTAGCTAGCTAGCTGTTCTTCTAGAGAGCAAGCTGGCTAGCTGTGTGTCTAGCCAGCTAAGCAGCTGCTTGGCTAGCTAGCTAGCTAGCTAACCTGCTGTGTGGCTAGCTAGCTAGCTAGCTAGCTAGTTGCGTGGCTAGCCTGCTAAGTAACCGCCTTGCTAGCTAGCTAGGTAGCTAGCTAGCTAGCTAACCTTCTGTGTGGCTAGCTAGCTAGCTAGCTAGTTAGCTAGCTAGCTCTGTGGCTAGCCAGCTAAGTGATATTAAGTTGTACTAAGTGGCTTCGCTCAACTCCTCCAGCTGCAGCGCCAGCCGCAGCAAACGCCCTATGCGCCAGCCTTGCTGCTGCTGCTGTTGCTGTTGCTGCTGCTGCTGCAGCTGCTGATCAGTTTCTGCTAGCCATGCGTCTAGGGCTTCGTGCTGCAGCGGGTGCTGCGGCGGCAGCTGCAGCCGCGACAGCAGCAGCGCGAAGCCGGGCAAGCTGGAGTGTATGTACACCTCAACAGCCTCAGCAGCAAGCCCGCAGCTCAGCAGCAAAGCCACCCGCATATGCACAGAGACACAAACCCTACACACAACACACACACAACACACACAACCAAGTCAAACGCTCACAGCAGCAGCAGCAGCAGCAGCAGCAGCAGCAGTAGGAGGAGGAGGCGGAGGAGTGACAGAAGTAGCAGCAGTAGTAGCAGCAGTGGCAGCAGCAACAGCAGCAGCAACAACAGCAGCAAAAGCAGCAGTAGAAGTAACAGCAGCAGCAGTAGCAGCAGCAGGGGATAACTCCCAGCTAGCTGTCCGTTCAGCAGCAACTCCTCCGGTGCAGCAGCAACAGCAACAGCAGCAACAGCAGCAGCGGCAACAGCAGCAGCAGCAACAGCAGCAGCAGCAGCAGCAGCAACAGCAGCAGCAGCAGCAGCAGCAGCAACAGCAGCAGCAGCAACAACAGCAGCAGCAGCAGCAGCAAATAGCATGCAGTCTTACCTCTCAGCAGCAAGGAAGCTGCCGACAAGAGCCACTCTATCGGAGTAGCTGAGGCCAGCAGCAGCAGCAACAGCAAACCAGAACCACTTGCAGCAGCAGCAGCACACGTCGCTGCTGCTGCTGCTGCTGCTGCTGCTGCTGCTACTGCTGCTGTTGTAGTCCTTAGCTGTAGAGACGGCATCTGCTGCAACGAACTCTTCCTCCTGCGCTACCCCTTGCTGCTGCTGCTGCTGCTGCTGCTGCCGCTGCTGCTGCTGCTGCTGCTGCTGCCACGGCAGCCGTCCCTGCAGCTGAAGGGCTGCATGCGGCCCCCGCAGCCACAGCGCAGACAGCCGCAGCGAGAAGTCTCCAGCTCTACCCTGAGCAGCAGCAGCAGCAATGCCAACAGCAGCAGCAACAGCAGCAACAGCAGCAGCAGCAACAGCAACAGCAGCAACAGCAGCAGCAGCAGCAACAACAGCAGCAAAGAAAACTAATGAATTGCAATTCTTAAACGCTGTGACGATACACCGACAGTGATCCTGCTGCTGCTGCTACCCCTGCTGCTACCCTTGCTGCTGTTGCTGCTGCTGTTGCTGCTGCTGCTGCTGCTGCTGCATCTGAGTTTGTAACGAACCCCGTTTGCTGCAGTTAAGAGAGAGGGGAGAGAAGCCTCAGCAGCAGCTCGTGCGTCTCTTCGTGTGTCTCCCAACAAGAACAGCAGCAGCAGCACATCCTGCTGCTGCTGCTGCGGCTCTTGCTCTTGCTGCTGCTGCAGCACCTGCTGCTGTTGCTGCTGCTGCTGCTGCTGTAGCAGCCGCCTGGTTACGTAGTCTGTTGCTGCCTCGATTGCAGCTTCACTAAACCTGTCGGCCCCGAGGCGTCTGCACTGCTGCTGCAGTTGCTGCTGCTGCTGCAGCAGCTGCTGCTGCTGCTGCGCTTGTGAGGCTCCTCCGCAGCTGCACAGGCTCTCCTTCGGGCCGGATGAAGCAGCAGCAGAAGCAGCAACAACTGCAGCAGAACTCGCAGCAGCCGCATCTTCTGTTGCTGCTGCTGCTGCTGCTGCTGCTGGTGCTGCTGCTGCTGCTGCCTTGCGAATGTCTCCGCTGTCACTGTCTCCTTGGGGACTCTGTTGAGAGCAGGCAGATGTCTCTGCATCCACTGTGCGCACTGCTGCTGCTGCTGCTGCTGCTGCTGCTCCTGCTGCTGCTGTTGCTGCTGCTGTCTCTGCTGCTGATGTGGGTGTCTCCGCAGGCACGTCCCTAGTTGCTGGCTGGCTAGCGGGCGTTCGTCCTCTATCCAGCTGTTGCTGCTGCTGCTGCTGCTGCTGCTGCTGCTGCTGCTGGGCTGCTGTCTTCGGTTGCGTCCCCTTCGCTGCTGCTGCTGCTGCTGCTGCTGAGACCTTGCTGCTGAGGGGAGGATAGAGGGGAAGGCGGAAGGGGTCCCAAAGAAAGACGCACTGCTCCACGCCGCCTGTACAGCCAGCAGCAGCAGCAGCAGCAGCAGCAGCAAAGGCAGCAGCAGCAGCAGCAATAGCAGCAGCAACGAAAGCAGCAGCAGCACCAACAGCAGCAACAACAAAGTTAGTTCGCAGCCAGATGTGTCTGTACACCCCAATGCAGTCCCCCACCCGCTGCTGCTGCT